GTATTTTAGTTGATATTACAAATTTAATAGTAATAATTAAGAAACGAAATCATTTTTAAAGAAACATGTCAAAATTGAGATTATTACAAGTTACCTAATAAATTCCACTATTTCTTTCAATCGATTGGAAAAAATGTAATTTTTTCCTTGTCATAAAAATTTAATTTTCTCTGTGTAGTCTTATCCTAGGCAATTCATTCTTATATAAAGCTTTAAATAAGCCTTTAGTACCTTTATGTCAGTGTACATTTCTTGACCAACAATACACTTTCGCTAAGACTTTCTTTTAACGGGCCATGTTCACGAGTCCCATTCCCTATACGATATACAAAATTAAAAGGGAATACGGGGCGAAGGGGAAGGATATAACAACAACAACAACAGCAAACAACGAGCTGCTCTTGTCCATTTAATGCAAATTTTAGATAAAATGATAGCGATGTAAATCGATTGGGCTGCGAGGCCGTAAAGTGGACGAACATGTAGTGCGAAAGCTACAACAACGACCAAGTGTATCACAAATCGCGAAAACCGAACGACGGGGTCGTTACGGGGTCGTATCGTGACGTTATTGCGATGTACCGAACAAATATTATTACGGGGTGTCAGCACTTAGCTGCAGAAATTAGGGGGAGACCCAAGCCACGACATACCACAATTTGCTGTCAGGATATTGTAAAACTGTTAATTTGAAAGCGCTGAAATTCCTAAATTGAATTTATTACAATAAAAGCAAAATAAAGGTAAATACTTATAGATTTATAGCGGGTTAACGAACAGAATAAATAAAGCTTAAACCGTTGATTTTGCAACGTTTCGTTTGCTTCATTTTGGTTTCTTCAAATTTCTTAATATCCTCTAATACCTGAGACATTGAAAAGCTTGAAGAACTAAAGAACTGGAATACAGTACTTTTATCTATTTTGTTTTTGAATCTATAAAGAATCAAATTAAAATCGAGGTTAAGCGTTTACAGTACTATTAAATGACTAAAGTATTAAATTAATGACAAGAGAATCAAATGAAGTTTTGTGAAAGGATCATTAACTGTTAATTATGAAGCGATTTTGAAGACATTTTTTTGGTTTTCTTTTACAGTAAACAAACTCGAACCGAACCCTTTTTCGCATCTACAGAGACAAGTTTTGTACCCGTAAATATTAAGAATTTTATTTCCAGTTTACTATTATATCATATCATCGCATTTCCCTAGAGTCAGATCATCCCAAATCCTTAACTACAAACAGTGAACAGTAATCTAATCGAGACTTTCTGCTTTTAATGTGTCACATTTTTGAGAAGGTGTTCTACCCATCCATCTGGGCTATTTCTTATAAGTACCTCTTCATTTTAAACTTTCTCTATTCATAATATCCTCATCATTCGTCTGCAACGCTTGTAATCATCCGCCGTTTCGCCACCGTGCAGAGCCATGCTTCAGACATACACTTTTAGCAATCTTTTACAATTTCCCTACTTTCTATTCCTCTGCATTCCAGTATTTTTGTTTTACTTATACATTTCATTTATCAAATCAGATAAAATCTAAAGGAGAACTACTTTTTCCTCACAAAACGTCTAATCAGAAATTGGTATATCGAAAACCAATACAAATTTCTTTACTGTAGAACACTGGTCATGTCTATAATTTTGAAGATCGAAACAGGTATAATCCGTATATCGCTTTTGTTCGCACTACATTGGAGTTGATGGAAAATCTTTTTGCTCTTGGTATTTAGGATACGGTCCACGGTCGATTGATCTTACATTCTTCAATCAGTGGAGTTATTTAGTTAAAGTTAAGATCTACACGACAATAAATAGCGCAGACATTAACAGTTGGCTGACCACAGAAACGAGCCAAGCTAAGTCACTTTTGTCTTTGGGGCTGAACGATAAATGGAAAGATTGTATGTACACACACATTCGAAAGAATGAATTGCTGACGATTTTTCCTTTTGCTGCTTCGTAGTCGTACGGACGGACATAATCCAATCGAAGTTACCGCAGAAATGCGATTCATACAAGGGACATATTACAGTTTATGTCCATACATTACATCCGATTCTCAAATTTGCTTTGGCGAGGAAAACTGAACAACGATTTGGGTAGTGATACAGGGTGGACAAATTTCTCTTAAAGCACAGTGCTAAATCAATACATACTAGTGAAAAATGATTTTCATATTTCGACCAAACTGTCCTAAACAACGTTTTCGAACTTCCCAAACGTTCGCTAGAGTTTGCTGGTAGAACCCCGGCTACTAGACACCACTTCAGAATAAGTGTGAAAATTTTCCAGAATGTTCTTGAATGATTGTAGCGTTGTCCTTGGTTAGAATGTTCTCGAATATTTAGAATTGTCCATAACTAGAAGAAACTTTTGTCTTCACATAGATCACCAACAATATCGGCGCTGGAATCGATTTCATGTTAAAATAGATAACTTAGTTTAAACACATTCTTTTTAATGCTACAGAAGAAAGTGGCTGATTTTAGGTATCTAGAAGGCCAGATAAGTCAGGACGGAAGGACTAGTAGAGATATAAAGTAGATCATAGTACAAGTCACGAACTCGTTAACGGTTAATTTAGAAATTCTAAAAAGATTGTTAAAGGTGTATGTTTCCAGCACAGCGCTGTACAGTGCGAAACATGGACGGTGGGCGCTGCGGAAAAGGTTAGAAGCGTTCAAGATGTGGTGTTGCTGGTGAATGATCACGATACCGTGGATAGAGTTAGAAATGAAGAGGTATTAGAAAGAATAGGAGAACAGAGGACTTTATGGAAAGTAAAAATAGGCGAGATAGGTTGGTAGGACACCTTCTCAGACATGAAAGTCTAGTCAGAGACATATTAGTGACAGAAACAGGAGTTAGGAGGGGTAGAGGTAGACCCAGATTAGATTACTGTTCGCAAATAGTTAAGGATGCAGGTTGTTTTAGTTTAAGGGAAATACGAAGATTAGCTAAGGATACGAAAGAGTGGAGGTGCGTTTACAACATGTTTTAGGACTGGCGACCTTATGATGATGATTAACGATCTGGAAAACTAGAGGTACGAACAAATGAGTGTGGAAATTGTCATAACTAACAAAGGATAGAAAACGCAAAAATCCGCTGAACGATAAGCAACTGCGCATCAACTTCTACACTGTCTGCTTTTAAATATTTTGCTTTAATTAGGATGCGTGCAGACTCACTGCGCAGTGAATTGCCGGGCACAACTTGGTGAAACTTTTAAGGCTAGCATTTATATATTACTCCTATCTCTAAATATATATGTATAGGATCGAATATAGATAATATTTTTTCATTTCAAAACTCACCCCTTAGAATGTTCAACTTTGCGTACATTTGGTTTAATCTGCAAAAAAAAGAGTAAAATTAGGAAGACAAATAAAAAACATTCCATACGTATATATACATAAGTATTGTGAGTAAAATAAAATGAATAGTCATTGTTCTATACAAATATCAATCTATAAAGATATAACACCAATTAAAACTATATATCTATCTATAAAAGTAAGTG